GTCTAAAGCATTTCTTCTTCCCTCAGTCGCTACCCCTCACGCCAGAGTTGCCAATCTGCTTCCTTCTGAAGAGGTGGGTAGTTATTCCCATTTTACCAACTTGGGTGGCAGGGGTGGGGGGTGGGGAGGCCATGCTGAAAAAAGTTGCAGACTCCTGCTTCCAATCCTCCAGCATGGGGTCATTGGACCCCAGATGTGCATGACGCCAGGCAGATCTATGGAAAAGGAGGTAAAAATATCAATAATGACTTAAGAAAGGATAATATACAACACTCACTGAATGCTAGCCCTTTCCATAGTACAGACGAGGAAACCAAGGAGATGAAGGGATTTATCCCGAGTTGCACAACAAATACGGGGTTCAAGCCTGTTTAAAGCCCGGGCAGCTCCAGGATTCCAGACACAATTGCTACAGCCACTTGTGAGTGCGGTGCCCGCTGCAGCCACACTCTGTGCTACTTGTTTTTCTGGTAAGGCTTCTCACCTTGTCCTCACCAGCAGCAACCCTGTGAGCTGCCCACTAGGATGCCCCTTCTGAAAGGTACTGAGGCCCAGTTGGATGACAAATGGTAAAAAGTAGGGTGTGGATTTAAATCTAGAGCTAGAGAAGGAATGGAACTCGCGGCTCTTTTCCCCCTTTCACAACCCTCACACCTGCGGTGGGGAGAAACAACTGGAAGTCTCCAGGGACTGGCCTATCCCTCTCCAAGCTCCTGGGGCCGGCCGCCGAGCGGTACCAAGGCTGGCTGCCGCCTTCTCTTCTCGCCCTCTCCCCCCGCCCCCAGGGCATCCTCATTGTGGGCTTCTTCCAGGGCACCCGGTCGAATTAGGCTCGTCGTCCCACAGCAGATCTCAGGCTAGCCTCCCTCCTGTCTGCGCCGCGACGTCTTCATCTGTAAAATGGGAAGCCAGTGAAAGTTCAGGCTTCAGGCAACCTTGTGCAATCTGCAGAACACTTTGGCAAAGGACCCTTTTTTCCAGCGGGCGGGGGCCCTGGAAAACCGGTTTGAGCGTCCAGAATTTCTAAAACATGGGATTTATCGTCCTCCCCCCGCCCCCCAAGCAACCTCAAGCAGCAGCCAGTCTACCCCTCTTCCCGCTCTGTAACTCTGCAAGTGATCTTTTAAATGCCTGGAAATATGCCCACCCCACTACAGTCTGATTGTCCTCCTTCCTACTTCCCACGGCACAGGTAAGAAACAAGCTCAGAGAGGAGCAGCCTTTTCCCCGACGTCACACAGCGAACGATTGGGAGAGTGGGGGCGATGGGGGAGCCGCGTTGTGGAATTCCAGGCGGACATTGGCGCCCGCGTGTCTGCCCGCTTCTGATACCGGGTTCGGAAGAATAGGCCGCTAACGAGAGGCCCATTAGGAGGAATTGTCACTCCTCTGGGAGCGAGGTTGTCCCATTAGGGCGAATTGTCATTCCTCCTGGAGCGAGGTTGTCCCGGCTCCGCGCAGGCTGAGTGCCGGGGCCGAGAGCAATTAACGCGGCTCCGGCGCGGGCAGCCGCCTCTGCCCGGGGCAGCGGGGGCGGGGCGGGGCGGGGGCGGGGCGCCCGGCGCGGCTGGAGCCGGTCACCCGGCGCAGCCCCTTCCCCTGGAGCCCGCCTTTCATCTCCCCGCGCCTGGCGCCTGCCCGCAGCCCTGGCCCGTCTACAGCCCCCTCCTCCGCCCCTCCCCCGCCTCCTCCGAGCCGCCGGGATCCAGCGATCGGTCCTGGGGGTTGCAAACGCTAGGGTCCGCGCCCCGTCCTCCACAGTTTGCAAATAGTGTTTTTACATTGGGGCCTGCGGTGCGCGTGCGCGGCTGCTGGGTGCAGGGCCCCGGGACGTGCTAAATCCCCCTGGGAGCGCGGGACTGTGGAAGGATGAGGGTCTGTGAGGAGGGGCCCTGTGCTGCGCGTGGGGATCCCGGGTCCTCCACTACCAATCTGCGTGACTTTGGGTAGCATACTCAGTGCTTCCTAGCCTTAGGCTTTTCCCTGTAAAATGGGGAAAATAATCCCCGCCCGGAGCGGTGTGTTGGAAGAAACAAATGAGATCCTGGAGGACAGGTACTAAAATATCTTGCAGAGTTGAAGTTTCGCGCTGGGGTTCCTTCTGAAACCCCACTGTTCTTCCTACAGATACTGCAGCTACGTCAACGTCCCCGGGAACTAACCTTTACTAAGTCTCCCCTAAGCGCCACAGTCAGTCCTGTGACAAGGGGCTACACCTACACCGCGCACTTTTAAGGCTGCGCAAAATTCTCAGCCCGGGAGATTTTACGAAGAACCTATCGTGAACTCTGTGAAAGCTGGCGATGAGCCTCATTTTGGATATCTAGCAGAGAGAAAGCATTCGATAAATTGCTCCTGCTTCTGACATATAGTATTTTTTATTGATCCCCTACACCTTCTAGTTACTTTATGTAGCCTATTGAATTTAATTACTACAAGAGCCACCTGGGAGATAAGGATTATTATCTCTCATTTTAGAAATAAAAAAGCAGGTTGAGAGAGGCAAAGTAACGCGACTAAGATCCCGCGGCCAGGAAGAGGTGAATGTCCAGAAAACACAGCCAACGAAGAAGCAAAAGCACAGAGGGGGCTTTCCGTAAAGGGCTAGGGTTCTGTTGAGGTTCGACCTTTTTTCTAACTGAAGTGAGACCCTTTCCTGAATTTTCCCACCCCACCAGGGAGCTGGGAATGGGGAGGGTAGAGGAAAAGGTGGGCAGGCTGGTTGCCCTCTGGGCATCTCTCCTGCTCATTTTATGGACAGAGCTTGGCATCGCAGTTTTAAACACCAGTTTGTTTGTTTGTTTGTTTTGTCTCTATTTTCCTCTTTCCAGCTTCATAATTTTCTTTCCCTGTCTGGACATCAGGACCTGAAAGTAGTGAGGGGAACCTGTCCCAGGAAAGTTCATTAAAACAAAAGAACTCTAGTAGTATGTATTTTTAAATTTTTTCCCAGGAATGAGCGTGTGTGCCCCTAAATTGGCAAATATTAACAGAGAGTTTTCAGGAACAATTATAAAACAGTGGCTGGGTATAGCCTAACTGAAAGCTGAACCCTTTTGTACACTTTGGCAGCTTAGGGCTAAACGAATTTCAGGTTGGCTTCCAAAATATATAGCCTGCACCTTGCTGGGTACCTCTAGAAGGCACAGGACTTAATCTGGATTTACCTGTACTATATTTGAGATGTATATCAAGCCAACTATCATCAAGTATGACTCAAGGGGAAAATGCATACATCTCCAGATAGTTTAATTTTTTTTTTTAACTTTCTTTGAGCTTCCAATTTGTTGGGAGGGGGGGTGGCGGGAAGAATAAGGTTGGTGAGAGAGAGACCCAGAGGTTTTAGAAGACTGTGGTTAGAACTTCTTTACTTTTTAACTTTTTCAGAACCATTTCTAATCAAACTGAATTAATTGGCCTGTGTAGACTGTTTTTACCCCCTAAGATTCAGATCATGTCTATTCAGGGTATCCTCCACCAGCACAGTTTCATTCTAGGCAGAGGTTTAGGATGAAGGAAACAGCGCATCAGAAAGATGGGTCTGGGGGTCAGATTTCTAAGACTCTTGCACTGGGAGGTAGCCTCCAAACCTTGATCATTTCAGTAATTAAAAACAATGTCTCTTCCTTCCAAGTGTCTGGGAACTGTTTAGCAAGCATCTGCTGTGTGCAAGGCCGAGCTCGGAGACTTCTATTTATCTCATCATTCTGGGTTAATCATTGAGATATAGGGAAGAGCAGCTGCAGCATGGAAAGGGTCATTTGAAGCACCTTGGTCTTGGCCTGGCAGCCCGCGGAGAGAACCAATGCCTCTGCACACTCTTAGCTCTCTCCCCTGTCCCTGGGCTGGTACAGTCATCACTAAGTCTTTGAGATGTAATTACCCAGGGTATAATTTGGGGCGGGGTGAGGATATCTATGCTTTTTTTTTTAAACCAGGTGCAATGAATAAAAATATTCTTCTCAAAAACGTAATAGGCCTGGGGTGTGCAAACTCGGAAGCCGGTATTTCTGAGATTTGCAAGAGGAAGGGAAGCACTAGGTATTATCGGCGCCTTTTCCTTCCTCCTCCCCCTTGAAGGCAAACACTGGCACCCAAACACATGACAAACAGGCTCAAACAAACGCAAGAAACACACAATACACGTAGTCCTTAGGAAAAGGTCGGATCCGGGTGTCGCCCAGAGAGGAGATTCGAGGGAAAGAAAACACGCGGACTGCAATTTTTCTAAGAGTGCGCTGGTTTTGTTTCGAGTGGAAGAGATGGGGACCACTGCTTTAAATTTTCCAGTCAGAACTTTGGAAGACCAGTCTCTGACCACCTCTCGGTCTCTCTCCGTCCCTTCTTCTTCTAGGGGTAATAGCTTTCGCTGTAGGGCTTTCGCCAATGGCGAAAGGAATACTCTTACAAGCTCCATGTATGTATTACTGCCTTTAGCAGGGATGCTGGCCCGTGTTTTCAGTGCTGACTCCTAGAGTTAGCTGTTTCCACGTATAGTAGGAGCTTCACAAATGTTTTTGCAATGTCAGTTGCAGATTTTAAACGTGTTCTGGCGGTGGGTGTTGGGGGAAGTGGTATGGGCGCGAGGTGCCTTTTTAAAAAGGGGTCAAAAGAGAGAAGAAATGGGACTCGGCGAACTTCCTCTTTAAATAATCGGCCTTAATTACGCCATGGACTTTTCAGTTTTGGCGTGATTATAACCCTTGAGGGATCGCCTAATAACAACTCTGCTGACTGCTCCTGTAATTAACTCCTAATTTATTTCAAACAGGAAAAAAAAAAGGCCCCAGCCTCTTCCTGGAGAGCCAATCAGAGGCGAGCGTCTGTGGCGTCAGCTCCAGAGCCGGCGCCGATTGGCTGAGCCGAATCTCCCACTTCCCCTTGGAGGAAAGGCTCGGCTCCCAGCGCGCCCCTCCCGTCTCCCCCCAAAAAAGTTTGAGTCGCGGCTGCCGGGTTGCCAGCGGAGTCGCGCGCGGGGAGCTACGTAGGGCAGAGAAGTCATGGCTTCTCCGTCCAAAGGCAATGACCTGTTTTCGTCTGATGAGGAGGGCCCGGCGATGGTGGCTGGGCCGGGCCCTGGGCCTGGGGGAGCGGAGGGGGCCGCCGAGGAGCGCCGCGTCAAGGTCTCCAGCCTGCCCTTCAGCGTGGAGGCGCTCATGTCGGACAAGAAGCCGCCCAAAGAGGCGTCCCCACTGCCAGCCGAAAGCGCCTCCGCCGGGGCCACCCTGCGGCCACTGCTCCTGCCCGGACACGGCGCCCGGGAAGCCCACAGCCCCGGGCCGCTGGTCAAGCCCTTCGAGACCGCCTCGGTCAAGTCGGAAAACTCAGAAGACGGAGCCGCATGGATGCAGGAACCCGGCAGATACTCGCCGCCGCCAAGTGAGTGAGCGTCCGGGCCAGACAAGGGGCAGGCGGGTCCGTGGATTTCTGGAGGGAGCTAGGGGGCCGGTATTCCAGGCTGGGGGTACGGAGACCCCTCTGCACTATAATCCCGGGAGAGCGAGCCTGGGAGTTCTTGGCCCCTTGATATCTCCAGAGTTCTGCGAGCCGGCTGGAGCCAAGACACCTTCTGGGTCAGATCCGCGCAGCGCGTGTTCGGGATCCCCTAGCTGTGCAAAGTATCCGACACAATTGAGGATTCGCTGGTCTTTGAAGGGCGCAGCGTAGCTGGTTTTGCCGGGTCGCTCGGTTATCGGTTTCTCTAGCTCTCAGCCCCGCGCTCCAACCACTTTGCCTATTTTTGTCTCATCGTCCACCGGGTTTCTGTCTGGAGAATGAAGAGAGATCCACTTTTAATGAGCACTCGAATATGTGCCAGGCAGAGGCGGAGGTGCCGTACCTCCTTTCAGAGTTCACAACCCAGCGAGATGTGCCCTCATTTTAAAGATAAGTCTAGGTGAAATCTAACCCCCGGTATTGGGTAGAAATCATTAACTTCCATTAGGGAAGTTAATCCCGCAGGATCCCAGGAAGGGATGGAGGCAGAAACTGATGCCGGGACGAAACGTCTTCCTGTCGTCCCCGCAGCCTGCACCTTCGCCGGGAGCGGGCTGGGGTCCGAAGCGCGCGGGCTCTCTCGGCTCATAGTAATAATTAACAACCTTCCAGCAGCGCTTGAGGGTTTACAAAATGATGCTCATTAGTTCACCAGATCCTGATATCGCTGGAACCCCGAAGGGCAGGCAGAAGCACAGGAAAGGTGGTTAGTCCCTATGCGGACACCCGGACTTTAAGAGGACTGAACTTGCTTGGTCCAGGTCACCAACAATGGCTGAATTGGGCAAGGGACCGTAGGTGTCCAAGCTCTGCTCCTCTGTAGGGTGTCCTGACCACCTTTGATTCTTCTCCCCAGAGAAACCAAGCAGAGGTCCCCAGACCTGCACCCCGCTTCCTGCCAATGAGGCAGGATGGCAAGCAGCCCAGGAGAATCGATTTCTCTTCCAGCTTTAGCACTTATTTTTGGGCCTGGGTCCTTAACACAATTTGGAGAACTCTATTCCTTATAGCCCCTTTTATTTCTATCTCCTGGCCTTTACGATTTCTCTACCCCCCACTGCACCTTTAGAAAAGGTGAGAAAGAGGGGTCTGCGGAGGGACTTTTTCCAAAGCTGGGAGAAGAACCCACAGCTTCCTTCATTTCCTTCAGTCAGCCCTCAAGACTGAGTTGCATAGTGTTTTGTGAACAAAACAAGGCCATATACCCCGGAGGCAGTGGCTGTCCCCTCCGGCATAGCTCCTCCACCCTGTTAGAAACTCTGAAAGATTCAAAGGGTGTGGAGATTAAGGACTCAAAGAATTTAAACTCAAGTTTGCACAGTGCTTTATAGCACTTTTCACTATATTATCTTATCTGATCTCTGTGTGTCCGCAGCCGGCCTGCTGGTAACAGACAAGGACATTTCGGCGGAGTTCAGAGGAATCAGCACACACTGAGTTTGGGCTTGACCAACGACTCCCCCCCCACCCCAAGAACAAAAACAAAAACACCTTGGCAATATTTAATGATCACCTATCCAGTGGTAGACAGGGCTCTGGGCATTCTAAAATTTAGTACTCTGAACCACATAGCACAGTATTACCCATTTTATTGATGGTGAAATAGAGGCTCAGAAACTTTAAGGAACCTAATTTGTTAGACAAATATTGAGTGCGCATGTTTTTCTAGGCCTGGGTCAGTGCCCATCAGCACATCAGCGATTCAGGCCTTACAGTGAGGTGTCCAGAGGTCAGAAATCCCCACTTCCTTAGGCCTTAGGGTTGTGGGATGGCAATTCCCCTCTGGCTCTGTAAACCGCCCCCCCTCCCCCCAACAGAGAGGATGAACTTCCCTGCTTGGGGGCCCTGGATATGACCTTCCCATGAGAAAAATCCAAGATTCTGGAGAAAGGATTTAATTTTAAAACCAACAGTGGTTCATTAGCTCTTTGGGCCTAGAAATGACAGCAGAAGCCCTGTGGTTGGAATCGTGGGTCCAAGGAGCTTCTAGCACAGGAGCCTGGGGCAAGAGGGAGCCACTGGCCAGGTTTGTTATTTGGAGGAAGTAGGGTAACTGCTGTTTTGCTTTCTATAATCTGCATCCATCCTTTGACTGGTTTAAAAAGCAGGGTGGGGGTGGAGGTGAGGAGTGTTGAGAGGGAGACTCTTAGCTTTATGGCTTTGATACATGTAGCCTGGCGTTTTGTAGTTCAAATGCAGCCTCTAGAAGCAGCCGGGATGACTGGGCTGACCATTCAGGGCACAGAGTTCCTGCAAACATGGAGCAGGATCAAGTGTAGACACTGGGAGCTTGGTATGTACCTTGAGACAGTGGAGTCCTCCAGGGAGCTAGGTCTGGTTTGTGAAGGGTGAAAGCAGGTCTCTGAGTCTTCAACAGGGTTGTTAGTTTATTTGTAAATTAAGAACTAGGTGCCTAAGCTCTCTGGCTTATTTAGGGAGTATGCAAAAGTCTAGACTTCTGTGTACCCATCCCTCTCTCTCCGGTTTCTGTTTTTGATCGATTGTAGAACCTACTGCCTCTTACTTTTTAGTCACTGAAGTGATGGTTAATAATGTCACACTAGGAGGAATCCCTTTCTTGTTGGAAATGGAGGCTGGGTGGGACTTGTTGTGTCACCCTCAAGTATGAAGTGTAAACTCTTTCTTGGGCCATCGAAGTAACTAAACAAGAAATGCGACATTCTCCCCATGAGTACTTTGGAGTTACTACTGTGGCTACTTGTGGAAAATTAGCATAGCTCATAAAAGCCAAATGCAGAAAATTAATTGTTTAGCATTCTGTCCCACAGCTCCACACTCCTGCCTCCACCTCCCTTTGAGGAAAAGAAGCCCAAAGTTAGTTGATAACTATGGAATCACAACGATGCCCAGTCCTGTGACTTCCTATAATTGAATCCATTTCAAATATGGAGTCTGGATGTGGTTGGCATACCTTTATTTTGCTTGTTATTCCCTCTTTCTAAATTCTGGCGACAAACTAATCATTTACACATTTGCTCTAAACCAGAGAATGGTTAGAGATGACTAAAATGTCATCACATGCTCTCAACTTGGAGGCAGCATGATTTCCCCTGACATTTACATTTATGAGCAAGCTAATTTTTCCCTCCTTCTTAGTAAACTTTATATTACAGAAGCACCCGGCCAAGAAACTTATCCCACATCCAGATCTGTAAAATGATGTTCAGGTTTTATAATCTGTAGACTGGATGGAATGACAGCTGTGCGGTTGTTTATTGCATGGGGCTGCTCCCAATCGGGAGATGCTATTAATTTACCGCGGACCTTTATCTGCACGATTATCCTTCATAAATATGCTGATGCACTCCAACTTTTGCTGGCATGGAGAAGGGACCAACCCAGTTTATTGGACCCTCTTTCACTTGTCTTCTTAAGGGCTTATCTCAGCATCTTAGAGAAGTGAGGATTGTTATGAACCCAGTTCCCCATTTTAAAGACCAGAGAACTTAAGCTCAGAAGAGATGGGGTTTTGTTTCTCAGAGAGCACTATGGCGCCCTTGACACCAATTCGTGGCTGTTCTAGTTCCTTTATCCATAATGCTGGTGTTTCCCATATAGAAAGTTCTGTACACTGAAATTCCCAAACTTTTTGTAAAAGACTCAATTTCTTAAATAAAGCAATTTATCCATTTAAATATGGTCCTCCTCCCCTCCCCAACCCCCACATGGATTTGACAGAAGTCCCTTTTTGAAGGATGAAGAAGGGAGGCCCGCACAGGCATACCTGGGAGAAAGCCACTTCTTTTGCTAATTCACTCCCTCTCTGTTCCCTAGGACACATGAGCCCCACCACCTGCACCCTGCGGAAGCACAAGACCAATCGGAAGCCAAGAACGCCCTTTACCACGTCCCAGCTCCTGGCTCTGGAGCGCAAGTTCCGCCAGAAACAGTACCTCTCCATAGCAGAGCGTGCAGAGTTCTCCAGCTCTCTGAACCTCACAGAGACCCAGGTCAAAATCTGGTTCCAGAACCGAAGGGCCAAGGCGAAAAGACTGCAGGAGGCAGAACTAGAAAAGCTGAAAATGGCTGCAAAACCGATGCTGCCCTCTGGCTTCAGCCTCCCTTTCCCCATCAACTCGCCCCTGCAAGCAGCATCCATATATGGAGCCTCCTACCCTTTCCATAGACCTGTGCTCCCCATCCCGCCCGTCGGACTCTATGCGACTCCAGTCGGATATGGCATGTACCATCTATCCTAAGGAAGACCAGCTCCATAGACTCCGTTGATGGATGTTTGTTTAAATGGGTCCCCCCTCCTCCCTCTCCAAGAAGGCAGTACCAAGCCTGTACTCCTGCTCTGCAAACCTTGCATGCGCCACCCTAAGCGGCTAGGCCCACAGGGCCACAGACATAGTTTGAATTTGTTCTTTAGGCTGGAGGCACCAAGCCCCATTTTCTTGGTGTGATCTTCTAGATGCCCCCTCCTCCTTTCACAAAGATTGGCTCTGATGGTTTTTCTATATAAATATATATATATATAATAAAATATAATGACATTTTTATACAGCAGACGTAAAAATTCAGATTATTTTGAAAGGCAAAATTTATATGCACATATGTATACTTTTTTCTATATATCACCTTCCTAAAAGAGACTGTTTAAGTCCATTTTGTTTTTTCTTATAGGAGAGACCTATTATTTGCTAAAATTGCTGACATTTGGTGATTTTGACGGGATGATTGACTTTTGCTTATGGAAAACAAAGGTTAGAAGTAGGCACAATGCATAGGAAGTAGATATGGAGAGATTCCTCAAAATGATGAGGACACATCGTGTTTTTGCATTTTTACATGCATTTAAAACTCATTAGATACTACCATATTTGGCCTTATATTTTTTCCCTCTGTCCACATTGTTACAGATTGTTAAAGTTTTAATTTTTTTTTGGTAAGATCAATAAAAGGGGGATGAGAAGAATCCTGAGAATGCCTTGGGGTAAGGTGGGACTTGGAAGTACTTCCTAATTCCTCTCAAGGCTGTTGCTTAACTCCATTTCAGATAATTGGAGAGTAGAAAGTTAAAGCATGTCAGGGGAATTGATGGTTTCTGTGAAATACTAGGTACAAGTCAGTCCTCACACATTGCAAAGGTGATTGGGGGCGGGGAGTGTAATTAATTCTCTGCTTAAAAAAAATAAATATACTGTAACCATTACCTATATGCTAAATATTCTTGAACAATGAATAGATCCAGAAAGAAAAAAAAAATCATGCTTTCGCTGTGTGTGTACCTATTGTATGTGCTAAACTTATTAGAAAAATTTATATACTTTTTAACATGCTGGGGGCAGAGGGTAAAGCCATGTTTTGACTTGCTAAAAATGGTGTTGTCAAACAGCCCATTTAGCTCCCTGGTACTTCATCTTTCTCTCCATCTTTCCCCCCCCCACCACCCAGTATACTTTTATCCCTTTGAAAGGGTGCCTTGTATAATTTTATATATTTTATTGAAGAGTTATTTCTTATCTCTTATTCTGAATTAAATTAAACATTTGTTTTATTGCAGTAAAGTTTGTCCAAACACAGTTATTTTAAAGGGGGCTCTCTGTTCTTAGCTGAGTTCAACTCAAAAACACCACCAAGATTGGGGGAGGGGGCCGGTGGTTTTTATTAATGATATTAGTGTGAATCAATTAAGAGTTGTGCCCAGATTCAGCCTGGAGTGGGGGAGTGGATTGAAAATAGCCAAGGAAATACTTTGAAAGGTTTCCTCTGGCAGTTTGTGTTACTCATGGAAAAGAAGTGGAATTGTTATTCGTTTTTCAAACTCTAGTGAAAGATAAGCTTAGAAGAAGTGGAGGGGCTGAGGGATCTGAGAGGTTTGTAGATGATCAAGGGAAAATCTTGAACTTGAAATCTCCCAGTTACCAAAACAGCAACAGATTTAAAACTGGGAGAAAGGGACCTATAGCTCTTTGGAAATGGAGATTGTAACTAATTCTCTGGGTTGGGGGGTGGGGGGTGGATGCCTTCTGCCCTTTCAGGAGTGTGTCAAATCGCATTCCGTTTACCATTCCTAACTCCTTCCAAGGAGATGGACCCCGAACAAATGCTCTTTTCGGTTTGAAGGAGGAAGGTGGTTCATTCAAGTCCCGTTTGCTTTGCAGGCTTCCTTTCCACTGGGTACAGAACAGGGTCAGACTTGGGTTTTGAGGCATCACCACTAAAAAAAGTCGGCAATGGGTGGGAAGGCTGAGACGGATCTTAAATTCCGCTTTTTATTGCACAAATAAATCAGAAGTGGCTACTGATGGTACCTTTGGGAGGTCTGTTTTCGGATGAGCAGCCCCGGTGACCCTGGGAACGCAGGCAGAAGGGAATGGAGAACTTGTGGAAGCTGAGCGGTGGGCAGACTGGCACTGGGCATCTCCGAGGACTGGCGCTTTCGTCTCACGTTCTCATTGCGCCGACACCCACTTTGGAGGTGGGCGCCAGAAACTCCCATTTCCCGGTCGGGCGGAAGCTCCCAGGGGTCGGGCAACGAGTCTGAGATCTCCAAGCTCGAGCGCCGTGCGTGATCCAAGCCCACGGACCTGCTCCGAGGCTGGGGGCCGATTTCTTGCTTGCTCCACCGCTGCACTCCCGAGCTGAGCCCCAGGAGTGTCCCAAATCTCCCCAATTTTCGTCTTTGCCATCCCACTGGGCCTCCCCAGCCCGAACTCCTAATCCCAGTACGGAATCCAGCCATCCTCATTTATGGGATGCGTTTTCCAAAGGCCAAAGCCCTTCCCGGTTTCGTCAACAGCCGCCAAGTTGGGTCCCTAATTAGCCCGTCCACCAAGCTTCCTTCCCGGCGCCGCTCGACCCCGCAGCCTCAGGCGATCTCAGCCAGGGTGGGGGATCGGGAGACTCCAGCTCCGGGTTAAGATAGCTTGCCCCCGGGAGGAGGGGTTCGCAAACCAGGGTGCGACTAGGAGAATCGGGGCTGTGACCTGCGTGGCCAATGGGGTGGATTGGAAAAGGTCTGGGCGACTGCGCTTTACCCCAATCGCCCCAAATCTCAAAGGAAAACTGAGGCCTGGAGAGAGAGAGAGAAAAAAAAAAAAAGTGCCTCGGGCTCAAGCACACACACCCCGGCGCTGGGAGGATGGGGTGACCGAGGAGAGGATGCGGCCGGGTTGCAGGGACTTAGACCACAGCCAGAGGTTCCCAGGGCCCGGCGGCGCGCCTAGCTCTGGGGCTCCCTCCAAACCTCCTGCCCCGCGTTCGGGTCGGCTGTCGCCAGAGTCCCCACGTCGGTCGGGCTTGGTGTGCCCGGCGTTCCCGAGGTTCCAGAGACCGGACAAACAACCTGCGGCGGCAGAAAGACCCTGACTCACCCCGGAGCCGGGCAGCCGTGCCTGCGGAATTAGAGCCGAAGATGCCAGGAGACTGCTGGCCTTGGACATCCTCGCCCAGGTTGCCAGAAGCCTGGCACACAAATCCGCACGTCCTCCCATACATTCAACGCTTTCCTCCAAACTTTTCCAGAAAGACAGCTCTGCTTTGGGGAAAGAGGGGAAGAAAGGAGAAGAAAGCACATTTCTTTGAGCCCCTGCTCTGTGCGGTCAGAAGTAGGCATTTTCTCATACCTCTCATTTAATCCTTGCATGCCCCTGGGGGAGGTGTCCTTGATGCCCTTTTATAGTTGAGGAAACTGAGGCTCAGAGAGGTTGCTCAGGAGGGTCACAGAGCCAGTAAGTGGCAGCAGCAGAATTCAGGCCTAAGCATGAGCCTTAGGTGGCAGGCATGAGGGCTGGCAAGCCCTGGGAGAGCTGTCTTACACATGATGTAGGGGCCTCCAGAGCCCCCCAGATTCCCAAACCCTGAGAGCCCATCTCTGCAGCGTCTCTCTCCCCTTCCCCATCTCACTTGGGCGCGGGGGGGGGGGGGCCTTCCCACTGAGTGCCTGCTTCTCCCTCACTGGGGACCTGGGGCTCAGCCTCCCTGCCTCCCCCCTGCGGCCCAGCAGAGGCAGGGCTGGGGCAGGGCCGGCGGGAGGTAGGCAGCGAAGGGCCGGCTGGCTGAGAGAAGGCACTGGCTAAATGTCTGCCTGACCTGACTGAAAAGAGGATCCTTGCCTTTGAGCAGAACCTTGTCTGACCGAATGAAAACTCCCACGGCCATTCTTTGCTATAAAAGCCGCTCATTTGCCACGGGTTGGAGAGGCCATTCCCCCACCCCCACTCCCTCACCACTGCTGGGTTTGGAATAAACATAAACCTCATTTATAAAAGAACCCACGTCACACACACCCTCCCCGAAAGCCCAGGGCCCAGTTGGTGAAGTTGATTGCGCCTGTGTCCTTCTTCAGTGTAAGAAAAAAAAAAAAATTTCCAGATTGGTGATGCTGTAGGCCTCTTTAATGAAATTGGTCAGAGAGCAATGAAGAAAAGTCTGCTGTCAACTCCTGGACCCCTCTACCCCTCTCCCACCCCCACCCCCCCCCCCCCCCCCCCCCCCTCCTTGCTAGAAACTAAATAAAAAGCAGTAAAATTACTTTCCAACATAGCCCGCTTCAAAGCAGAACAGAGGACCAGGCTTCGGGAATCCCGAGTCCTGCCTTGATAAGGCTCATAATAATCAAATCCAAACTCCATCCACCTCCTCTGACTCTTTCCAACCTCCTCCGGACCCCTCTGCATTTGTTGATGAAAACACTTTGATGTCCTGAGTCCTCCAAACAATTATTATTATAATTTTAAACAACCTGGTATTTTCCATTACTAACGGCTCGAGCTTTGAAGTTACACCTCATAATTTCCTAAATTAAATAAATCATTTTAAGTTTGCACTGGGAGGCTTTTAATAGCAGAGAAAGGAATATCATTATCTTATTGAGACCCAATTGTGGTGGCTCCAGTTTGGCTGTAGCTAGGGGCAAAGTAGGCTCACTCTAACAGACATACTTTATTAACCTCCCATAACTCTTGAAAGAACATTTTTATATTTTCTTTGATTTCCCCCCTCCCTCTCTTGTTTTAAAGCTGTCCCAACCTTTAATTAGTGCCTAATATGAAAAGCATTATTTTTTTAATGCTATGTAATTTACCAGCGGCAACAGGCCAACTTAACAATTGTTTATTAGACTTGGTTTTTCACACAGGGCAAAGAATGCCGCTCCAAACCCAACTTTTCATGGGTGGTTGCACTAATTAATACAGTGTCTGAGGCTCCTAGGGGGTTTTTTAATATTGAAGCCTATGGGGGCGGAAGGGGG